GTAAGCTTTTGGTGATTTTGAAAGTGTGGTTAAAACATGTGGGGGGAAAAGGAAGAAAGGGAAATGCTGGTCATGACGTGTTTTAACAAGGTAGTCCTAAAGGTAAGAAATCTCCCTAATTAAGATGTTATCAAAGTAGTAAATGAATTACATCAAATGTATTCATATTGACATCCCTTTGTAATTTTCTAGCATTAGTCTAAGTCTAAATGAATTACATGTTTTTTCTAAAGTAAATCAGAAAACATTGCTACATCATCTTGAACTTCATTTACGGTCTACATGTAAAACTGAATTCCATATAAAAAAAATCAAATAATTAATCAATTATTTTAATAAGCAAACAGAATGGAAGTTTTGACTACTTTAAAAATAATTATTAAATAAGGTGAAGTTAAGAGTTACTTCTGGGTTGAAGCAAAATGATTCTGTACTTTCTCTTTACTGAAATACTCAGAGAGAAGACATAGTTAAAAAACCCTGACCTTTCAGTCTGTCTGCTTACTGAAGAATAAGAGAAAAATATTAAACACTAAGAGACAGTTTAGGTCAATCTGGGTCATTCTTTGACTCTGTAGTATACCAAAAATGATTAGTTTTTTCTAACTGTGTGTGTGCGTATGCGTATATTCCAGGATGTCACCTCTTTTTCTAGAAATGTCTTTCCTTTAAGTTATCAATTTTCTTCTTTTTGAAGCCCTGGTTTTCAAATACTTTCAGCTATCCCCCAAATACTGATAGATGCATCTATCTCAGTCCTCACAGAAAAAATAAATCCCAGCAGTATCGCTTTCTTTGCCGACACATGCAATATCACATTACAAACTTAGTTATAATGGTAGTTTTTATCCCCTCAACACTATTGACTAGTAAGGCTTTATCACCTGCAATTTGTACTCTCTCACAGTTTGCAGATACAGCCTCTGGGGTCAGGGATTTTTTGTAATTAAAATATGAAGTGATTTTATGGAATTTTTAAACTTTATAATGCTAAGCTTACGCATTTTTTTTATTCACTTGACCAGAAAGAAAATAAAAACATAAGAACTTGGTCAGAGCAAAAGCCCATCCAGCTCAGTACCCTGTCTCTATCCCATGGCCAAAGAATGGAGCACTAAGGAAGAGTGTGAGCACAGACGAAGCACGTACCACTGCCTCTGCAGAATGCACTCCCAGACTCCAACAGTTTGTGGCTCAGGGACTTCGTGAGCCAGAGGCACTGTCTTGCATTCAATACCTGTTGATCTCTTCTATGAATGTGTCCATCGCCTTCTGAACCCATGCAAACTTTTAGGATTCTGTAGCAAAGCTCACTTAACTGTGTCTTGTATATAGGAATTTGAAGAAATAACACAGGCCAGCTCCTGTCTGAATATATTTGCATTTGGAGAAGGAAAGGAAAATTAGATCTCTCCTTGTTAGTGGGACGGAAGTTGTTAATTAGGAAGCTCTGGGCTGGCTGGATCAAGCTGTAGACGTAGAATGAGATAGGGCACAGATAGCTTCATTTTCCTTCCCTGCCTGCAGGGAACTTCTTCCCACACGCAAGCATGCAAGCACAATGCAATATTAGCAATATGCTAAGGCAAGAAAAGGGCATGCAGAGGAATCATATTCTCCAATTTTATTTTTTTTTTTTTTCAGGAAGTGAGATGCTATGCTTATGCATGTTCCACTTCACCTTAACCCCTACTTTCAGAAGGCATCTCTGCATGGTAAACAGTAAGAACAGGGCCTGCTTCCACATCTGACTAAGCTAATCTACAGAATAATTCTCCTACTGCATTCAGTTTATGATCCTGACTAGAAGCTATAGTGGTTTCCTTCTTGATCTCTGTGAAGCTAGAAAAACTTGCCATGCATCCTGGTACAAATTGTAACAACAATATTTTATTACGCTTGTGGAAGCTACATATAAGCAAAAGCTACATATAAGATGCTACAAGAACTCTGAAATAAACTTTGATTTTACCTTCTTTCATTTTAACTTTCCAGGCTGTAGGCTTGGTCTTTGCTGCAAGAGAAACTTTCAGGGACTTCTGTTCTAAAGTAGCTCTCGTGTCTTTGAATGACCACTGAAATAAACCCATAGAGAAACAGGAAGGTTGGGAGACAGATTAATTGCATTTATGCAGAAGTAGGCTGCTAGAGGCTGAAGTGCAGAATGGAAATTGTTCTTTTAAGTGTCCTGATAAAAAAACAAATTGTGAGTAGTCATAATGGTCAGCCATTCAAAAACCGTAATTTTACCTTTTACTTCACCCCTGCCCGCTAAAATGGAGAAAGAAAACCATGCTTCAGGTTTCAAAGGACTTGAAAACATTACAGAAGCTCACCTATGCTAGCATCATTTCTCTTGAAAAGCTCAGATCTGTTCTTCTCTTTTTGAAGGTCTTGACCCTTACAGGTTCTTTTCAGGCCTTACTGCAAAGTCAACTTCTCTTAAGTCGTTTTTTCTGAAGTGAAGGTATTCTTGAAATGAAATAACACACAAATGGTGGAGAACAACTGCCTTGGTGACTGATGGTCTGTGCTAACTGTATAGTTAACTATCACTCCTTTGCAGAGCAGCTAGCCTGAATGGAAGGTGTTTTGTATGTGTACATTTTTGTTAAAATGGGTCACGTTTTTATAGTCTCTTAATAGCTGTTCCTTTCCCTGATTAACTTTACCTGTGTCTCTACTACTGAGCTGACATATCCAGTTTTACACCAAGGTTCATGAACACATGAACATTTTATACATCTCTCTCTCTGTCTGTCTCTCTCTCTTTATATAGATCTATCTTTGTTCACACATGACTGCACTGAAGCAAGTCAAAGTGCTCCTGGAGAAGAGAAACCTGAGGACAAATGGGAGTGGAATTCAGATCCTATTTATGTAACACAGACATGAGGTATGTCAGATCTTCCTCACACCAACAAGTCTCCAAGGATACTCCCTATGGCTATTAAACATTTCAGCTTTGCATTCTACCCTGTTCCTCAGCGCTCATTATTCAGCATAATCCGTGACACACTGTAAAAATATACATCTTTAGATCAGTGAATCAGCCAGCTCCTTTGCATGGATTGCTCACAAAGTGTGGTGAGAGCAGAGAGGAATGCCCTGATAAGTGTTTGTAGAGCCATGCCTTTCGTTATGAGCCTGGCTTTGCTTCTGGGGAAGTTTCCCTGCAGCAATATGAGGAGATAAGCCAGGGGAAACACCACTGGCTCAGGCTAGCTTTATAAGAACTAGCAAACAATGCTGCTTGAAATAAATAAATAGAATAAAGAGAAGCTGCCTACCCTTCAGGCCAGGGATAGAAGGTAGTGTTTGGAGGAGGTCCACAGACTTACTAATATTATTAGGAGCGACCACTTGGACTCTGATTGTTCACAGTCTTTTGCAGCATGGACTGGGCTTTTATATGCACGTTGTCAGCGTCAGATCACTCACTCAGTCTCCCAGGCTACAGACTCAAAGACTTGAGGAACTGGCTCTGTTTCAGGGCTTCACCAAGATGGATCCTCGGCTCTCACCCAGAGAAACATTACATAGGTGAAGCTGGTCAAGAATGATGTAGCATACATTAGAAGCATAGCTTTAATGTATGTTTTGATTTGTATGTTAAAGGGGTATAGGAAGTGAGGATATGTAAATGTGTGCTTAGGATATATACTAGCCCCTACAATGGGAAACCCTCTGCAGCAGTAGATGAGCACCACAATTATGTAGAACCAAAGCACAAAAAAATTTCAAGATGACTCCCACCACCTCTGGCCTCACCCCATTCCCACCCACAAGCAACGGCCCGTTGTTTAGCCAAGAGGGTGTAGTGCTTCTCATGTGCTACAGGCTGGCAGAGGCAGAAATCCAGAAACAAACTAACACCTTACACTGGAGCTTGGCTCACTACCAACTAGGTCACAGCACGTGTAACTGCACCAATACGCGCAGCAATGCCCTGTCAAATTTTTGTTTTGATAACTTTCTGTACGCAGCCTTCAGCGTAGTCCTGCTTCCCAGAACTTCCCCTATTTGGACCAAGTACTATGGCGACACTTTTAAAATGGCATATACTTAACAATCTGCCCCTGCCTTCACCCCTTCTTCCTGCCACCCTCAAAGAAAAAAAAAAAAACAACTACAATAATTGACAGACTTTTAATTTCTTAGGCCTATATGGCTCACCTCAGCAATGTAGTGATCTCATTACACAAAACTGACAATCCTTGCAGACTTTTCACTCTTCACTATATTCAGTTCCAGAAGAGGCCTTGCTACAAATTCATTCTTCCCCAAAAATGACATTTCAAGATTTTGTCTACACTTCAGTAGCTTTTTAAGGTCATAAGTTTCACTTCCCAGTCAGGATCTGACTCTATATAGATTTTCCAGGCACGTTACTGCATACCAGGACAAAAGAGGTAGCATCTGCATCCTCATTCAGAATATGGGACAAAGGTACACAACCAGGCTGGAGAAGAGGACAAGTCATTCTCCGTCAACCCCACTCTCACTTTGCTGGGACTCTAGTTTTCTTCCAGTATATTCCTTCCATGCCTACCACATGTAGACAAGTCTGAAGGATGGAAAACAAATGGGTGAGAGCAAATGAGTGGCTGTGTCTCAGCCAAAACCTCTCTACGTGAGGGAAAGGGCATGGAGCCCAGACACGTGCCAAAGCAAATGCCTCTGAAGGGAAATGTGATTTTTTTCCCCCCTCTAGCATGTCACGCTCCAGCCATCCTCCCATGTACCATCTTGCCCTGTTGCTTAGGGTGTGAATGACCCTGAGCTTGTGCTTCCAAATTGCTCGCTTTTTCGGAAATAGGAAAGACAGCAGGAGCAGGCATCATGTCTTGACAATTTTGCAAAGCTGAAACTGAGACTCTGTGTCAGGTAAGGGCCTCCACGCTGTGTGGGGCACATCATTCTGGAGCGTATGAGGCAGACAAGTCACTGCTAGAAGTGTTTATATGTGCGTTGGTACAAATGGTGGTGAAATAGTTACTATGCCAGGGGGCAACTCCCGCTCAAGTCAGTACGGACAGGGGCTGCCTGTCCCAAGGGGTCCAGGTACCACGGAGTGCTTGGATGAGAGTCTAACCCATATAGTGCAATTTAAGCTTGAAGCTATTCTCTGCACTTGTTTCAAGTATGAGATCATCTTTCTTGAATATGGTCATCCCTGAATAGCACAATGCACTTTCGAAAAGGCTTACTAGAACTTTATACAATAGCATTATTATTTCCCTCTCTCTATTTTAAATATCTCCTGATGCATTCTACGGTCACGCTTGCCTTTCTCATCACCACACTACATTCATGATTCACAGTCATCCTGTGACCAACTGGCGCACACAGTTATTTTCAACTTCTCAGTTATTTTCAACTAATGAACGTATAGTCTGCAGCAGAGGCTTGTATTATTAGTTAGATATTAGCTGACAATATTCTGATTTTTGCCCTATTTCTCTTACTCCTCAAATTCATCTGGTTATTGCAGTTTGAAATGTGATGTAATTAGTGTACTAATTAGGGTTTGATTCTCGACCTCAGTTCAATTACTGACATAAGCACTTGATTCTCAATTTTTGGTGCATTTTACAATCAAGTTCAACCCTCTAACATATGCATTCTTCAGGGTGCAAGGCTGGTTTCTCAAAGTCAGCTATCCAGAATGTCTGCTTATCATTTCTTTGATAGAAGATAGCTCTTTTGCATTGATAAGTACAGGCAGTACGTAGACCAAAATGAATAGCAGAAGGAAACAAATACAACAGAGAGATGACGTATCATCATATGAGCTTTCTGAATGTGTACAAGCTGCTTTCTGTAATGATTAGTGTCTATGTTACACATTTCTTAGTTTATACCCACTAGAACAGGTTCTGCTGAATTTCTTGACAGACAAAACAGAAGAACCATAAACTTAAAAATGACTTAAAACTCTACTGCATTTGCATTGGTAGGTAGCTTATTAAAAACCTAAAGATCCAGAAATACCGTAAATGCATTCAACCAATGAAGCGGAGACAGCATCCAGCTCCTGCCATATCTTTAGAGAATTCTTCTACCCTCAGCAAAGCATGCAAGAGGCAGTGATCATCTGTGAACTGAGATCCCAATTTTAAACTCTAATCTCATGATTAACTTCTCTTCTATCTTGTAATGGAAAGTATGAACAACTTGACAACAGTATGTAAATGCCTGCATCACAAAAAATAGTGCCTATGAATATTCAGGCTAGATCTAATGCTTATGATATGAACACACTAATTAAATAATAATATACTAATTCTGCGTATAAACATCTGCAGAATATTTGGATTTCAGAGAGAGAATAATAGTATAGATTTTATGTCCGGTAGTGACCCCTGGTGTTTAAGGTAGTTATAACAATGATAAAACATTCCTAGCAGAAAATGAATCGACTACTTTGGAATCAGCTGCCTTTCACTGTCCACACATATTGCAGACTCTTCCTCAGAGGTTAAGGAACAATATGTAGTTGTATTATTAAGTTTAATTGCAGATCTGCCACATCTTAGCCTTGCAAATGCTTACACAGTGTGTCCCATACTTGTACGGGGCAGAAGTTGGTTACAAAGCACATCCTACAGCCTTGCTACTCAAATGGCAGGCTTCTGGGTCTGGACTGCAAGTAAATTTTGCTCAGGCCTTGCCAATTGCCTGACACATGAGCCTCCCCACATTCTTGCAGGGTACCCCACTGTTCTTGGTCTTTCACAGGGGCAGCTGTAGCAAGCCAATGCAGCTTGAAAAACAGCCATGAAATACTATGCAATTGCTGGCTTAACCCACAGACCTAAAGCTCTCCATTGCTTTCTTCTGATCAATTACATCAAAAGTATTGAGTAGACCTTAGAAAAATGAATTAATCAACTTCTATACCACTATTGTTTTAAGTTAACTGCTATAAGCCACAGTTCACTTTCAGAGAGGCTACTGAATACACATCTACCACGCAGAATGTTGTAAAACCTCCTACTTGTATTTCTAATTTATTTTTTGTTGCAGAAAGTGATTGCTGAGAATTATGTTTTGTCCTGGAGCCTTCCGTTTGGCGCCTTTGTTACCTTGATCTCTGATCCAGCCCAGATCTCTGTCCTGTTCCTCTCCTTGTCCTAAGCATCCTCCTTGATTTTCTCTCTTGGTTTAGACTCTTGCTTTTCCAGACAGTGTGTGGGGTATTCCGCCTTTCTCAGATGAACTCGATTTTATGTCTAATTCCTGTGAGAAGATTGCCTCTGGCACTCCTAGAAATAACTTATGCTCTTGCAATTCCTAACACTGTTCTCTGCTTCTTGAATTGACAAGGCATTTGCAGACCACTTTACGTGGAACGAAAGTTGCCATTCTGTACCGCATTGTTGGGAACTGTCAGAAGGATGTGTTCAGAGTCATCGTATCCTGCCAGCATAGGTTTGAGGCATATTATAACATCAGTGGGGAAGTACTGTAGTAATACATCCTTATTCTACAAACCAGCGTAGAGGATTGTTAAAAAACTGAAATGCATTTCTGGCACAATTTAAGTTAACAGTATTACCATTTAACTTCACAGACAAAAATTTCACACACTTACATACTAGCCGTGTAACACTACAGATAGTACTCTATAGAGAATACATGAAAACATGGGCATTAAGTGGTTTGGGAATAAGGGAAAACCAGCCTCACCTTGCCTCCCTTTTCTTCCTATTTTGCCTCTTTTGCAAACATAAGAAGCTGATTTGATTTAGTCTTTGGTCACAAGCCCAAAGACTTGGGGGGGGGGGGGGGGGGGGATTTTTTTTTAATATTTTTT